GAACAGCCATCTCGTGTTCTACGCCTTTGGTATCAGTAGCTTCCTTATATCACCAAATACTTCATACAAACCTGCATGTAATCGCTTAGAAGGAGTGTTGGACTGTTCCGATTCTTGATGTTTCCGTTTTCGGGCTTCATTCGTTGTAGATGTAGGATACCATGACCAAGGGATAAATATGTTATTGAGTTGGAGTTGCTTGAGAATGATGTGACGATTCCGTAGAAAGACATATCTTTATCTGAAAGTTTGAGCGGTGGTGTGGATGATTTATGGCATAATTGTCAGCAAATCTATTCATTACGGTCATATGGACGAGCTATCTACCTGGAGGGAGTTGAACGATGAAGTGAACCGTCTTTTCTGGAGGGATAGACTGGTAGATCTTATGCAACTTTGTTGAGGAACGGGCTGACTCCGGGTTCGTTGACATATAATTTGGTACATTCTTCTCCAAATCAAAATCGTAAGAAGTTTGGTGGGGTACAACGTGAGTCTGGTTGGATTGATACCGCTCAAATTCGGAGCTTTCTTCGTAATAATGGCCGCCTTCAAGTCATCTACTGTTGCTAAGGGTGGTACTTTAATAGAAAATGGAGTTTGTTGATTTATGAGAACACAAAAGAGATATAGGCCTCTCCCTGAGGATCTGAGTGGCCAAAAGTGTTTGGGTCAAAGATGAAATAGCGAAAGAGGCCCCATTCATATTGTAGCCTCCGGGCGGTCCTGACCATATTCGTCGGTACTTAAATCAAGGCAATGTCTTTTAAAAGACAAGTTGTTTCATAACAAAAGACTGTTCAAGATGAATTGAACGATGACGACGTACATAGTACAAGTAAAGAGCGATAGGCCGTGCATGTGACAGGTGAAGCGATGGGGACGTGCATATTAGCACAAGTGAAGCAGTATAGGTCACAGTGGGGGCCTACTAGTAGTCTATGGCCACAATCCGGATAAATAGTCACGAGACCCCTACTGGACGCTCACCCATAGGCTGAATTACGAAGTAGAAAGCTCCATTTACAACGAACAATAAGTATGACACAAATACATACAAACAACTACGGTTTTTTCGAACGTCGTGCCCGTTGAGGGCCGGTAAGACCTTCCCTTACGGTCAGGAATTCAATAGCATCTCTAGGCCTGCAATGATGGCTAAACATCTAGAAACATCCTAGTAGCATCTTGGTCATTCATCTTCCGACGTTTGGGAGACGGTTCACTGGCGTCACCACCTCCACTCGGTTTGAGCCGATGTTCCTCGACACCCTTCATCAATTCCTTCACCATATTCTCACCATAATCCGATATTGTAGCAAGTGCCGAGACAAGGGCCGTGTGGGAAAAGCTGGCTAGGTCGTGCTTATCTTCGCTCAATGCATCTTGTACGTGCTTAGATATTGAGGAAAAGTTTACATCCAAGGGGAATGCGGCAACAACCCGTAGTATGTTGTATCGACCCCCCATGAATGGCCCTTTGCTTGGCTTATTTATATATTCTAGCATTTCAGTTAGCGACTGGGAATTGCCTGAGCGCTAAAGTGAAATCGAGGTGAGTAACCCAGGCCGTAGAATTTATTGGTGCTTACCTACCAGGGAAGCAAAGAACTTATCGGGAATGAGGGAGCGAATAGCATCGGCAGTGGCTTCTGCGGTGATTGTGTCCTTGTTGCCACTAAAGTGGCATTTGGCTTGGATGACAAGCAACAGATATTTTCCGTTACTCAGGTGAAGCCATGTCATAAGATCAGGGCCCATCGACTCCCCGGGGATGCACCACCCAGCATTTCCATTCTCAATCCATTTTTTTACCTCTTGTGGACCTTTGGCGGACAAGGAAACTCCTGAGGATGGT